ATTTAAATATAAAGAGCCTTTTCTGGGGTAAAGAAAACTAAAAGTAATTTAGATGAAGTGAAAGTGAAAACATCCTGAGGATTATTGTACGTGAGATATTTTCTTGCTCTCTGGACTTTGAGCGACGTTGTTAAATAAACCTGTGAGTTCCTCAGACATCAGCTGATTTCTCGTCTCATTCAATCTCCTACGATCTGCCGCTAACTGATCGAAGGCGTTCGCCTCCTGACGTTGTCTGAGCCGACCAATGACGTGGCTGAGAGCCCCGCCGCCCCGCCCTCTTTCCGGGACTCAGCGAAGGGGAACACCTCCCTGGTCAAACTCGTCATCAGACACGGCATCTCCTTCTTCCCGCCCAGAGAGCGACCTTTGGCCTGGAAGGTGTAGGCCACGCTGTGGGACAGACGGGTCATCAGCCGGGTCAGCTCCAGCTCCCGGTTCCCCTCCGTCTCTAATAAAGTGCAGAACGTCTGGAGGAAGACGGAACCCAGAGGATGCATGAAGGCTCCGTACCCTGAGGAGAGGACGGAGGACAGGGGGTTAAACAGAGGACAACGTCATGGCAACACTTCTGAGAGCTTTCATCACTCGACTGATCTGGAGAAAGAGGAAGCAGCTTCTTCATCTGGTCAAACTTGTGTCTGAAGTTCACCTGGAGCTGTGGCGTACATCACCGCTGTGTCCACAGGAAAGTGCAGGTCCTGAGAGAAGCTGCTGTCCGTGACATCGTCCCCTGAGTCCACCTCCACGCCATCGTCCAGGTCGTGTCCCCGACAGGCCTGCGGAGACAGAGGAGTCCTCATGAGACACAAAGTCCTTCATGTCCCAAAGAGACGTGTTGATCATCGTCACCGTGTCTTCACCTGAATGAGAAACACTTTGGCCTTTTCCTTCATGTGCTCGTTGTCGAAACACGAGAAGACGCGAGACAGACGCACACGTTCCCCGTCAGCTCCGAACACGCAGCCCTCGTCTCCGTGAGAGGACAGGACGGCCAGGAAGCAGTCCTTCACAGGACGTCTGCTCTCTGCGGCACAGACACACAACCACACAGACAACCAGACACACAACCACACACAACCACACACAACATCTTCATTAGTCAGATTCAGATTCAGATGTGTGATATGTGTCAAAAAGCACACGTCAACAGAGGTCGTGAAGGACATGAAGACAAAGTTTATAGATGTCAAATCAAGAGCAATAAAAGACATTAGGTCATAAATAGTGTCATCATGTAAAAAGCACCTTTATAAAAGACGTTGTTTAAAATTCTGTCACAGCAGACGATTGATAGATTACCGGTCACTTCACGATAACGAAGACGTGAGCGTGTCCTCAGGAGACAAAACATCAGATAATCTTCTCCATCACCTGATTCGCTGTCTGCTTGACTCTGTGACCTCAGAACAGACCTCGACAAACAGGCTCGTCTGGTGTTTAACGGAGAATCCACTGAACCAACAGATCAAACTTCAGCTTCCAGACATGAACAGTCACAGTGACCTCCAACCTGCTCACACTGATCACACTCATCACACTGTGCTCGTCACGTTAGAGTTCAAACACTGCAGCAAGACGTTGATCAGGACGTCTTCAATAATCATGTCCGGTTTCTCATACGTCCACGAGGTCACGGTGCCGAGAGGCGAGGACAACCAGCAGTGAGTGACCCGGGCGTGTGTTTGCTCAGCGACACTCAGACGCTGTAAAACTGAACCTGGTGATTATACAACTTCAGCCGTGAGTGGGTGTAGTCGTGAGGTCCTGGAGCCCGAGTGTGTCATCGCTCAATCACGTGTGTTTGCTCTGCAGGAGATTGTCTGGATCTTTACCAGCTCCTGGTTCTCCAGAGGAACCTCAGGGTTCTCAGGGTTCCTCTGGAGAACCAGGACTCTGATGATAAAACGCGTCTCACATAAAACTCAACTCACGAAGAGCCTGAGGATCTTGTTTCGATTTCTGTCTCCTCTCGACTGTACGCTAATAAAATGTGACATAACAATGTGAACTTTAACTGAGTCTGTCATGAGGGATTTTACAACCACCAGATGATCAGTCCCCC